TTACTTTAGTAAAACTGAATAGCACAAGAGATACACTTCGCTCATCGCAGGTGTAAATGAGTATTGTACTGTCCCTGTGTTGGTGGCGGCATTAATATAAGTTGAAAAAACTTGTGGAGATTAGCATCGGGAGAAATAGCCGCTTGAGTCTCTATTTGGCCAACTTCTACTCTTTCCAGCTGTCTCCCGAAGCCTGGAAGAGGCTATGAGTTACAGACCTCCTCTTGGATGGGATGGTGGTGGTAAATACATAATCCTATTAAATCACGATGCTCGGAAAGGAACAGGCTGTTGGAAAGTTACCATAATCCCTCTAATAAAATCAATGTTCATATGTATGTAATGTATGTATGTAATGTATATATTATATGTTTATGTTCATGTTCTGTACCCATGCGACCTGTACTTAGTTCTGTAGAACACAAATGTACAATAAAGGTCTTCATTCATTCAATAAAATCAAAAACCCACATAGCCGTGGAGACTCTTGATTCGGGCTTATTCCATTGCATTAGTACCCTCAGCAAGAATGCAATGTAAGCCCGAATCAAGAGTCGCCAGGACTAAAACCCACCATGACAAATGTGTACCTCTTTACATACGGTGTTTTACGTCACGATAAAGTCCTACATAACACATAATATATGCAAAGAGACACATGACAACTTTACAAGACTTTCATGCTATCCTAATAGCATTTGTGCGTGAAACTGCTGGGAACACTTATTGTGATGCGTGATTAACTGGAACAAAAGACGAAGTGGCCCCCACAAAGTCGTGCCAGACTTTCCTTTTCAGTGGATAGCTCGTATGCAAATTGTCTGCACAGTCGGGAAAGATCAAAAGGTGTCGCTTGTGCACAGCACTTCACACTTGTGTGCGAGTCCGGACTAGTCCTATCTGTTGATTTGCAGTTGAACAATAATCTACTAGTACGTGTACTTGTACGAAGCCCTCTTTTTAAATTCAGCTGGATTAAAAAAAGTTTACTGACGATTTCTGCAAAATGCAAACAGCCCTTGTTAAACTATCATCACAAAATTATGAAGCTGTAAATACTAGGAGGAAATCATTTCTAAGAAGAGGTTGGCGGAGAAGATTGTGCCTCTACGTAGCCTCTACCAGGCTTCGGGAGAGAGATGCCGGGGGAGTTGGTCCGTTAGTGGAGTAGTTTGCCTAATCTCCCACAGGCGGTCACGGCCAATTTTTAGTCTCCCGAAGCCTGGTAGAGGCTAACGCGATGCACCGCACGGACATCTGCTTTAGATTACGAACAGTTCCGGGGGCGGCAGCGGGAGATTTGGGGGAAAACAAGAAGGTTAAAAAGATGTTGATCTAAACCTCCTTGGAAAAACAACAGCAGGAACCAAAGTTCCTACGTATATAGTTCGACGCCTGGCTGTACAATTTGGATTTGGACGTAACTTGTAGCCTCTACTAGGCTCACCGGGTCAGTGATTGAAAACATAATTTTGCGAAATACTGGTACACTGGGTAGTATTGCCGGCGGCCAGTTTGAAAATTTCAGTACAGTAGATAACTTGTGTGTTGTAGAGGCTAGCGAAATACGTGTGCTTACCAGCTTTCAGAGCTGCTTTGACACCACGAAGACAGCCGTTCTCAGCTGCGTCTAGTAGAGCTTCATTCGCGTTTCTTGCCATGTCGCGAGGAGTAAGGATTGCTGCTGTTGCGGGCACAGCTCGGAGTTTGAACTGAAGGGTACCGTCAGAAGTGTCAAGAGTGGGGAGGAGGACTTGTCTTGTCACGTGACCCACTGTCCTGTCACTTTTGAATTAGTTACTGCAAGTGGGCGGGGCTTTGGGCTAGCCTCCACCAGGCTTCAGAAGCGGCTGCAAAGAGCGCAGATTACATGCCACGGTCGGAAGTTGGTCCTCTGAAGGAGTACATACAGCTTGCGGGCCGAATTTACAGCACTACATTGGTTTTAAAATGAAAATGAATTTCAGAAATGAGTTATTTTATCAATTACAACAAGGACATTATACACAATGTCCTTGATTACAAGTAGCCATTTATAGCCCCGCCCACAGCAATGGATCACGTGACAAAACCACCTTCTCCCGGAGCTAAGCTGGGTTACGGGAATTGGAGAGTTTCCCGTGCGGGAACTGTGCCACAGAGGGGGAGAAATTCCCGTGTACGGGAATCTCTCCACCTAGCAGTGCCGAGTCCCGTACGGGAACTTCACCACTCAGGGCTGCCGAGAAGGTGGAGAATTTCCCGCTTACGGGAATCTCTCCACCTAGAAATGGTGAGTCCCGTACGGGAACTTCACCACTCAGGGCTGACCGTGCGCGCACGTGTTTTGGGGCCGATATACAGACGGGAATTTCACCATATTACACGAACGGGAATTGGACCATTTTAGTCGTCATTTTCGCGTACGGGAAATTCACCAGCATTGACAAACAACGTTATTGATGTCCGTCCGCGAACGCCGTACGGGAACTTCACGGTCGATATACAGACGGGAATTTCACCATATTACACGAACAGGAGTTGGACCATTTTAGTCGACATTTGTCGCATGGGAAATTGACCAGTTGTACTACGGGTGCAACCAATTTTCGATTAAACTGGATTTGAAATCAAAATTGGGTTCGAACAACGCCACTGGCTTGAAGCAAAAATCTAAATACGTCGAGTGATCGACGTAATCACGAGTGCGTCTTCTATGGACATTTTGAGCTGTAATGATACTAGTAGTCTTCACACTCGGTAGAAGACACGAACCTAAAAAGCCTGTTATACTACGGTAAAAAAAATGCCCGAAGAAGACACACTCGTAATTGTGAGTAAGTCTTGCACGGACAGTCTTGTCATAGCGATAGCAGACACCGGCTCCTCAACAACGAACACGAAATGTTTGTCCTCAAATTAAAACATAATGATGTGTGTCAACCTCACGTTATACAAATTTCACTTTTCGGCTATTCTCATACATACTCAAGACGCTAGTACTAGTACCGGGGTAGAAAAATATGNGGGGGGGGGTCGCTGTGACACCGGCACCGCGAACTTGCCAATACGTTTCACACAAAGTTCCACATGCATCCAGCTCTACTCTCCATTACAAGCTGAGGTTGTGGGGGAATGATCGTTACCGTTTTATATAATGGCCGTTTTTTTGTCGCTACCCCCACCAACCGTCGGTGGCCGCGGACCTTCTTTGGCTAATGGATACTGCCTGGTCAATTTCATACTGTCTTTTTGCCACCGAGAGGGATCTGCTTGGCGATTATCCAGCTCGGGTCCCTACCACCGACTGACTGACTTCGTGTTCCTGACGTCTTGTCTTGTTGCCAGCGGGCACGATCAAAGGAATGCCGGGGATCTCATGACTCATCCACTGACGTTTTCTCTGATTGAAATTAACCACTTTCAAGTGCGGAACTCAACAGCTTAATTAGCCAACGGACTACCTGCGCAACCGTGATTATTACTGGTATAATGTGTGACAAAAAATTAACATTTACTTTTACCGACATTTACTGTGTCAGTAGAAGTAATTATTAAACTAGAAAGGCCGACATTTGCTTGGAGAAGGAGGGGAAAAGAAGAAACACGAGAGAACCCAATATATTTCATCCATACCGTGGAATGGACTGAAATATAAAATGGCTACTAAAATACAATTGTGAGTTAAGCCGTAGCACCATAATATACTAAATTTCAATTCTACCAAAACGTATCTATTGCATGTTTTTCCGAAGGAGTAATATAAAACTACGAGTCCTACTAGGCACATTACCTTAGTGTCTGAAGCCCGGGACCTGGTCGTCGTGAGGTGGGACTGTTTCTACTGCTCCAAACCAAACATTGGCCCAGCTTCCATCCATCTTATATTCTTCCACTTCTTCATTGAACGGCATACAATGTATGGAATTGTTTTTGCCCAGGAGCCTGCAACAGACTAAGTTCCTGTTGGAGGGGACACTGGAAGTCTGTCAAACGTTCAGGAGGAAGCAGACGTGTACACGATTAGAACTCTCAGCTGGCAACCTTCCCTGGCACGCCTTCCAGTTGTCTTAATGAATGAATGAATGAATGAATGAATGAATGAATGAATGAAAGACCTTTATTGTACGTTTGTGCTCTAACAAGCTAAGTACAGGTCATGGATAGACAAGGAAAAGGATACAGCAATGATAAACTATACATACTAATGTGATCTACTATTTACATTGTTCAACTTCTCGCTTCTTGACGCAGTTATAGATGTACGAGCATATAGAACTAATTAAACCAGACGTACGTACCTAGAATTTAACTCTATGTATATATATATGTATATACATATGTATCTATATCTAGTAGAAAACGACGACATTCTGCTCTACATGCACTCCTGGAGAGACGAGTATCGAGTGAAAACGATTTTTTTCACCGTGAGGCCACACGACTTTTTTTTACTTAGTGGTCGCCATATTTTTATTTGTCAGGACGTTCAACATGACATCAAAGACTTATCGTGTGACAACGTTTCCAGCTTCGTACACACAGTTTCAGGGAGTGAATATAGCCATGATAAGTTAGGGATGGATTTGGTTATTTCAGCAGTTTAGTGGGTATAATGAGAGACCTGAGTGGTCTTAGACACCCTACAACCTACGCCGCCGTACGGGACTGAAACCACCACTCAGCAGATCAAATAGACACAAAAACTCTTTCATACCCAGAACTCTTTCGTCAATGTAAAGCCCGCGAAATCTTTGTGCTTGTGTTGTATATTTAATGTTGAGAGATTTTAACAATATCGGAAATTCGATGTCTTTTTAAACTAATGGTATTTTAAATGTAATGTTTTTTATGAATGAAATGTAAAATCAACCCAATTTAGTCTTGTCAAAGACTACAAAGTTGATTGTTTAATAAAGTTTACAAGTTTACAAGAGAGAAGAGGTCGATGACCTTCGTCATGTATGAGTCTGGGTTGTCAGAAATGTGCTGCTGTATATAGTCTGGCTTTTATTTTGCTGGTTCGTGAACCAAAGGATATGTGATTCTTTAGTCGTAGTACAGAAACATACGTTACACGTGTACGGAAATTTTCCGACATACATGTAGTCAGCTAGTATCCACTAGATGAAACGTATCGTATTACCTAGATGTCTAACCTTCATCGCCGTATCACAACATCCATTTGTCACTAAAACAACTTTGAAAAAGGAAAGTTTTTAATCAATCATTTTACAGATGGTTTTGATTCAGTGGGAACATATAAAAGGAATAAAATACATCGCTGCATGAAATTTAAAAGTCAAAACAATAAATCAGAGCCTTGTCTTGTCTACTCTCTTCATATTTATCTGCCATACACGTTCCAGCATGGGAAGACATGTCATTTTGCCCATTTTCGGCAGGTTGACCACTGGCAAAGGTCAACCATTTTTTTTCCAAAATCAGGCAAAAATCAATGCGCGCACTAATGTCATCCATAAAAATTACTTGCTGTGGCCTTACAGTAACTGTACCGGTCCCATAATGATAACAGTGGACTCAGATAGTTTCAAGATCTCCAACTTTATTCTTACTCAAATCAAAAAATATTCTGAAATCTTCAAGATAACCGTTGCTATCATATTGTTGTCGGCTTCAGAAAGAGGCGCTATCTTACATATGCACATCAAGTAGAGGAGGTAGAAACTGTAGTACTGAACATGTATGAGGTTCTATAGCCTTGCAATATACATACTAGTAACAGACACCAGCTATTAGGACAGAGAGACAACCCCAGAATTTGGCCACCCAAAACAATACTTCCGTACCCTAAAGTTGTGATCAAGTATTTCATACCAAAGATGCAAATTGTTGTTAAGTCTGCAAAGTTGCATTTGCTGTACATGTTCTGGGCTATTTTTTTATACACTAGACTTTCCCTGTCACCAACTCAATCATTTTTAGGAAGGTCCTAAGTCCGTCACTGACAGTGCACATGTCTTGTCCGCAGCTCTTCTTGTGTCCGACAGACCAGTGTTGTTTCTGACAGTCTCGGCTGCAGTACCGGGTCAGCTTGCACCGGCCACACAGCTTCAGGGTGGACCTGGGGAGCAGGGAATAATTACGCCGAAGCTGTTTAGAACTACAGTAGAATTCAGAAAGGTTTTACAACTGACCATTGTAGGCTGTAGGAGAGACAAGAATCAAACGTAAGAGGTAATAAGTACACACACACACAGTGACACACACACAGTGACACACACACACACACAGTGACACACACACACACAGTGACACACACACACACACACAGTGACACACACACACACACACACGCGCGCGCGCACAGAGTCACTCACACACACACAGTCACACACACACACAGTCACACACAATCACAAACACACATTTATACACACCTGTAGCCCGGTTTGCCACATGTAGGGTTGCAGCATCTCAGCAGCTTGTTCTTCGTCGCCTCTTGTACCAGCTCCATCATCACCTTATGTTCCCAGTCACACTCTTCTCCAATGAAGTTATACTCGCAGTACCTAGTGGCAAATGGGACTCATTTAGGAAGCAAGAAACAGAAGATAGCAGACTTCCCGGAGGTTTTGTGACCTTCAAGTTTACCCCATTTCCAGTGCCTGACCTTTGGACCTCGTCATTCTTAATCTGCTACAAGGTCTGTATTTCACGCCACCCACGTGCTGTCAACCTACTCTCAAGTTTGCCCACATTTCCTGTGTCTGGCCTTTTCACATGTCGTTCTGCATGTCAATCTCTCACAAACATGCTGACTACAGCTAAGCCACCAAAAACAACACTTTTGTATTAGTTGACAGCGTCATCCATTCTTAAAAGACTACCCTGGATGCCAGAACTCATTTTTCGGGCCACAAGAGCCCTTCGCCCGCTGGTCTAAATTACCGCTATGGGGGAGTTTGGCTGGCCCTTTCAACGAGTTCTAGGGCCGGACAAATCCCTCGGGCTCAACTCCCCCGTAGCGGTAAGTTAGATAGGCGGGCGAAGGGCTCTTGGCTGGCGAAGGAAAACGGCTAACCGTGCGATACTAGTTCTGGCATCCAGGGTATTAAAAGACGGGACACTTACTGCTGGGTCGTATTGCCCTGAGCATCGGCCAGGTCAACTCTCGCTCCAAGCTCGATCAGTTGTCGGACGGTGGCGACTTCTTTGAACATGATGGCAGCCATGAGGGGTGTCCTCTGGAACGCGTCCCGGATGTCTAACGTTGCACCGTGATATACCAGCAAGTCCACAACGTCTGTGTGCCCTGGTGGGAGTTGTAATGTAAGAAATATGTATAAACCAACGCTACATTACAACAAGTAAGAAATACTACATGTATTATGCAATGTAGGCAAAGTTGGGTCGTCTGCGGACCCAACTGGGGTGGTCGCGGTCACAGAAGACAAGTGGTCGTCTTTTGCAAAATGTGGCCTATGGGGGAAAAATTCGGTACCGGCAAAAACTGGTATGTTTTTAGCCAACTGGCTTTTTTTTAAATTAACGGCTTACCGTTGCCGGCCGCTCCATGAAGGGGGGCACATGATATACCCTTGTTTCTCTTGGTTATGGACGCCCCCTTGCGGAGCAGAAGTTTCACGATGTCTGCATGCCCTTTGATGGAGGCGATTAGCAGCGCTGTTCCAGAGCTCTCTTCGTCCTCCTGGGCGTGGTCAATGTCTGCACCTGCGTTTGGTGATCATAATTTACTTTAGTATAACTGAATAGCACAAGAGATACTTCAGTGAGTACTCTAGCCTCTTCCAGGCATCGGGAGACATAGCTAGCCGCTTGAGTCTCTATATTTTGCCAACTTGTACTCTTTCCAGCCGACTCCCGAAGCCTGGTATAGGCTATGAGACGTCCTCTTGGATAGGATGGTGGAGGCTGTTGGTAAATTACCACAATCCCTCTAATAAAATCACAAATCCACCATGACAATTTGTACCTCTTTACATACAGTGCTTTACTTTTACGTCAGAATTAAAGTCCTACACAAAGAGACACATTACAACTTTACAAGACTATCATGCTATTCTAATAGCATTTGTGAATGAAACTGCTGGGAACAGTTATTGTCATGCATGATTAACTAGAACAAGGGAAATCGTAGATTTCAAACCTCCGGGTTTTTTTTTCTGTTGGTTTAGGTTATTTGTTTGTGTGTAGTATGAAAGTTATGTGCGTAATATGTTTGTATGCCGGTTTGATGGCTACTGACGGTTGGTTCGGTATGGACTGTTGATTAACGCAGTGTTCGAAATACTTTTTTGAGCAAAGTAGCACAGTGTGCTACCTAGGGCAAAAACTAGGTAGCGCAGCAGAATTTTAGGTAGCGCCACGCCCCCCCCCCATTTGTCAAATTCTATGCACGTGTCGCAATACTATATTTCTTCCAATCATAGAGGTATAATACCTCCATGCTCTAATAGTAATAAAGTTACTATTTTTGAGGTTTCAACTCTGAAGTAGGAGCTCTGGGTCGAAGCCAAATTACGGGTGCGTGATTTATTCTGGTTTTCTACTGAGAAAAATCGGGACAGTATTTGCGCCGGGCAGCCGGCCATGTACGCGAAATGGTACGCCCAGTATAGCAGCGATCTATTCATGTTTTATGTTTACAATTGTGCAAAATTTTTTTACAGAAATTTGATCACATATGCTTAAAAATATTGTTATACTGATTAGTTAAAAATATTTTAAGACACTGAATCGCTGGCTGTGATGTGCAGCAGTGTACGTACGCGTAGCGTGCCAGACATCGGCCGTGCACTTGCGACATAAATTTCTGAGGCTTATCGTGCGCATCGTGCGTATCCACAATTATTCCCATCGTAAACATAGTCACTGGGATCTGAAATGCATACATACAGGATAATTTCCCTTCTTCAGTGGGAGTTTTGTTTATGTTTTGATCGTACACGTCAAACTGCCACGCTGGTCTACGCTGCGCGCTGGTCTCGGCTGCACTTCCGGGTTCCATAAATCGACACCATAAATCGACAAAGAAACAAATATTTCCCCCAAATTTATATTAATTGTGCACTTTTTCACTAGATGTGGCTATGCAGNTTATAAACGCCAGTACTTATAAACGTAAGAACCACTGACGGGCCGTGAGGTAGGGGTAAACTTTTGAATGGGAAGGATTTGTGCAACGCCACTTGGCAGAAAGGTGGTCCAGAATGTTTGCCGGAGCATGGGCTACTTTAAAATTTGGCGGCACAGCCTTTATTGTTATTTTGCATACGATTTTCGTGTCGACTGTGAGCTGTGCCGCCATTGGGGGCTAAGCAGAGGACGGGGGCAAAGCAGAATTGCGCCGGGGGCGTAGAGGAACGACGGGGGCGAAGCAGATTTTTTGCGGGGGCGAAGCAGAACGGGGCGGGGGCGAAGCAGAACGGCGGGGGCGAAGAGGAAGGAGTTTCATGGGGGTGCCTTAGATGTAAGATCGTGCCAAACTTGGTTGTATTAGTAACGTCAACAACTTCAACAACGCAAAAGCAACAGGGTAGAACAAAAATAAATAAAGTATAGGCCTGATTCCCTCTTCCCTCCAAAACCCAACCAATAGTCTCGTGTGACAGGCCTGGTCTCTCAGCGGTACCTGAAAAAAAAAACACGTAACGCCGACATGAATCCTACGTATCTGTAAAATGTGAGTCAACGCAATTCCGCCGTGTTTGAAGAAATTCGGCACGTATTCAAAGTTGACTGTAAATAAAGATTTATTTGTCTTCTTCATGTATCATGAAACGCGGGGGGTCCCGGGGCGTCCTCTTGGAGGGCCTGCATGGGGGGTAGTGATTACGAATTACGCAAAGTTTTCGCCGCCTATTACGAATTACGTTAAAGTCTCAGAGCTGATTACGACTTTACGATTTGCGGCTAATGTCCAATTACGAATTACGTTGATTTTTGCGGAGGCTGCCTACGAATTACGAAGTCTAAAACGGCCTGATTACGCCTTGCAGGCCCTCCTCTTGGTCCTCAGTCCGGACCCCAGACAGCTCGCGCGGCTGACAGCAACAGGCTGCAGCGGTCCTCACGGAAATTATGGCGCAAAAAATGGCGAACGAAGCTCTGCTTGAAGCTGCTGACAGCGGCTGTCTGCAAGGCGTCAAAGCAGCTCTGGAAGCCGGTAAGTACATCTTTGCTAGCCTCTGCAAGTCATCCTATGGGCTATAATTTTGTTTCAAAATGTACTCCTCTGGTCTGATGTCGTGGTCAAGTCTACCAGTGTAACAGTGACTGTGTGTGTGTGCGTGTGTGTGTGTGTGTGTGTGGGGGGGGGGGTTATAGGCGTTACCAACAGATCCGGCAAACGGGTCTAGACCTTTTAGCGGAGTGGTTAGAGCTTCTGGTTATGAAGCTCTGGTGCCCGGGAGGTTGTGGGTTCGAACCCCGCCCCGGGACCAGAAGGGTTTTTACTGACTCCTCCTGTTTCTTACACCAGTATAATTTGGCTATAATCAAGCACTGACGCGCTGACCCTGTGAGCGTAGTGGAGGCTTTCACATTTTCCTTACAACTAGGCGTCGAACCATCTAATGAAGGAATTTTTGGTACCAAACAAAACTGCTGTTGTTGTTTTTCCCCCCAAAATCTCCCGCTGCCGCCCCCCGGAACTAGACTGTTAGTAATCTAAAGCAGATGTCCGTGTGGTGAATCTTGCAAAATGTGTCTATTCCCCCTCGAAAGATGTGATAACTGTTACTAGCCTCTACCAGGCACCGCGGATGGCTGGAAAAATAGTAGAAATTGGCAGAGATAAAGTGATTTTTTCGAGCTTTGCGGAGCGCAAATCCGGATGGTACCCAGGCTAAAGTATAAGTACTCACTGAAATCTTCCTTGTGTTTTACTTAACTCAGGTGCTGACATTGACTACGCCCAGGGCGGCAACCACGTCAATAGCAGTAGAACAGCTCTGTTCTTGGCTTCTGGCTGGGGACATGCCGACATCGTCAAGCTGCTGCTCCGCAAGGGGGCGTCTGTAACAAAGAGAGCCAATGTGGGGTCATTGTCTGCCCTTCATTTTGCAGCGACCCAAGGTACTAGTACTAGGTCATGGATTAATGAAAAAAAGTAATCATACCTTCGACAAATGATGTTAACCTTTACGACTGGCATAGAAAAAGTTGTATACTATAGGATCATGTTCTTCATCCAATGACATTCTAAGCTATTGTAACCCAATGCATAGGTACTAAGGTGGTACATGTATTTGAATGTAGCCTGGGTGCCATCCCCTGTAGCACTGGTATTTGCCCACTAACTTACAACTGGTAGCTAGCGACATTATAGAGTGGGCGAATACTAAAGGGGATGGCACGGTGCCACCCAGGCTAATTTGAATGAGAACGAACAAAGCAGTTGTGTAAGCATGGATAACATCCATAAACTAAACTTTGTGCACTTTTTTTAAATGTTGAATTTCTAGTTGTTTTTTTTTGCATCATAGTATTATCTTTATCAACGTTACCTATTAAATTGCAAACGTTATATATTGGAATACATGTACTAGTATAAGTTGAATTAACGCTTTATATTTCTCACATTGCAACTCCAACCCAGGTCATACAGAAGTGGTGGAGTTGCTGGTACAACATGGCGCAACGCTGGACATCCGGGACTGCTTCCAGAGGACGCCCCTCATGGTGGCATCTAGCTTCAGACAAGTCGGCACATTCCGCCGACTGATCGAGCTCGGAGCCAGGCCTGATTTGGCCGACGTTGAGGGCACGACGGTGCAGAGGCAAGTGTCATAGCCTCCATAGCATGCAGGGTTCTCACCAGGTTTTTTTTCACAGCATAGGGGTCAGGTACAGAAGGGCAAACTTCGCAGCACCCCTATGCTGCTTGAAAGACACCAAATCACAGTATAGGTGGTCCAAATCACAGCATAAGGGGCCCCTATACTCAAAAGGCCTGGCGAGAACACTGGGGGTTTGGGGGTCTTCACGGTCTTTGGCAGCTTTTATGTGCTACACCAGAGGTGTCATGTCATGTGAGAACGAAGACAGACATGAAAGTATTGTTTGCTTTGGTTGGCTGAGTTGTGGGGTCCTGTATCTATCCAGTAAGAGTAGGTTGACAGCACGTGGGTGGGGAAAGATTGACAGGAGTACAACGGGCTCAGAGCCCAGTAGGACCTAGAGACTGGTAAGTTGTACAGTGTTAGATATTGAGAAGTTTGACTTGCCACTGTGTCCGATGATTTTATAGTCTCTAACTCGTTGTGCAAACCTACAAAATTATATATAGGTACTGCGAGTTATTAAGGGTGGAAGGAGTAGAGTGCCTCTCCGCACGTACGGAGCTGATGGAACTGATACAAGAGGCACTGCAGACCGGGTTGCTGAAATGCTGCAACCCTACATGTGGCAAACGGGGAAACAGGTAGGTCTTCTTACACCCAGGTATGTGGGTATTGTTTTTGATGTGTGTGTGTGTGTGTGGCTATGTGTGTGTGTGTGCATGTGTGTGCGTGTGTGGCTGTGTGTGTGTGTGTGGAGTGTGCATGTGTGTGTGTGCATGTGTGTGTGCGTTTGTGTGTGTGTGCATGTGTGTGTGTTTTTGTGTGTGTGTGAGTGTGTGAGCGTGTGTGTGTGTGTGCATGTGTGTGTGTGCATGTGTGTGCGTGTGTGGCTGTGTGTGTGGTGTGTGTGTGTGCATGTGTGTGTGCGTTTGTGTGTGTGTGTGTGCATGTGTGTGTGTTTTT